CCTGAAGATATTTGATCATAGCCGGATGGGTTGCTTCAAAGACACCCTCATACTGGCTTACAACCAATTGCGAATCAGAGTAGGCGTCAATTTTTGTTGCCCCAGCCGCCTTACACATACGGATGCCAGCTAGTAGGGCCTCATACTCCGCCTCATTGTTTGAGGCTTGAAACTTGAATCGTAGTGCATACTCAAATTTATCTCCCTCAGGAGACTCATAGATAACGCCTGCACCAGAACCATTTTTTGTAGAGCTCCCGTCCACATACACTTTCCAAACCTGATTGGGGTTATCTGGGGGAACCGGACGTGTCATTTCAACAATGAAATCGGCGAACGCCTGACCCTTCACTGCCTTCCTTGGTTCGTAAGTGATTTCAAGACTTTGCATTTCAATAGCCCATTTTAACATTCTACCGGATGACTCCAAGGTTGACATTGGCCGCTTGAGAGGTTAGTCCGTGTATATAAAGACCGGATGCGCCAAAAAGTATGGTTTCAACTTCTTGGATGCCATATAAAGAGCGAGGCCAAATTTTTCAACCATGGGGTACCAGAGCTCAGCGTTCCTAAGAACATGGCTAACGAAATAGACAGGGAGCTGGGTGCCGTCTCTCTCAGCAAGGAGAAAAGCACTGAGGGCATGATCCGAGACCGCCATATACATGAATAACGTCTCTTTGGGCAGAGGGCTAACTAGCCTTGGCAAAGAGTGCAAGTGTTCTTTCAATTTCTAGAAGGTCGCCTCAGCCTCATTCCCCCATTCAAACCTAGTCTTCTTCCTGATAGCTTGGAAGAAGTAGAGGCATTTGTCACCTGACCGGCTGAGAAATCTTCCCAAGGCCGCCAGGCAACCGGATAACTTCTGAACTTCTTTAATAGTACGGGGTGACTTCATGTCAATTACCGCCTGTATCTTCTCAGGGTTAGCCTCTATTCCCCTTTGATCAATTAAAAATCCAAGAAACTTTCCAGACTCAACACCAAAAACACATTTCTTGGGATTTAACATAACCCTATGCCACCTGAGTGTGGTGAAGGTTTCTCGAAGATCAGCAAGGTGATCCGCCTGGAGCTTTGATTTGACTATCATATCATCAATGTACGCCTCTCCATTCCTTCCAATTTGATTTATGAAAACCGTGTTAATCATTCGTTGGAAAGTAGCAGGCGCATTCTTCAAACCAAACGACATCACCGCATAACAGAACAACCCCTGATCAGTGACGAAGGCCGTCTTCTCTTGATCTTTCTTCCACAGGGGGATCTGATGGAAACCTGAGTAGGCATCCATGAAACTCATCAAGGCATGACCGGCTGTAGAGTCGACAAGGCTGTCGATCTTTGGAAGAGGATAGCTGTCCTTGGGACATGCCTTGTTGAGGTCCGTATAGTCAACACACATGCGCCAGGTACCATTCGGCTTCTTCACAAGCACCACATTTGCAACCCAATCAGGGAATTTACATGGTCGAATGAACCCAACGTCCAACAATTTTTTCACTTCGGCGCCTGCCGCCTGACTTCTCTCCTCGCCGTGGTTTCTTTTCTTTTGCCGGATAGGCTTTCTCTTTGGATCCACGGCGAGTTTGTGGACAGCGAGATCCGGGCTGATGCCTGGCATCTCTTCCACTTCAAAGGCAAAAATGTCTTTGAACTCTTTCAGCACAAGGTGTAAGTTTACACCCAACTTAGCATAAGCAGCCATCCCAACCTTTACAGTTCGATCCGAGCGAGATCGATATGCTCACCAGCCGGCCGCGGACGGAGCTCATCTGACCGCTCTCCGGTCAGTGATTGCTATTTCTTTTCTTTCTTCACCTCCCCCAGCTGGGTCATTTTTCTCTTCTTTCCGGCTGCTGGTGGGGCTTGGCTGGCATCCTTGACTTCGTCAAGGTCTATTGGTTCCTTCCCCTGACCATCTGGGGCCACTGTATCTTTGACAACCGAGAGATAGCATTCCCGGGGCGTCTTCTGATCCCCATTCAAGGAACCAACAGAGCCATCATCCTTTTCATACTTGATCAGCATGAGAGAAGGGATGATTACAGCCTTGGCTTCGTTGAGGGTGGGCCGTCCTAAAATAATGTTATAGGGGGTTAATTCCTCAACGACCAAGAACTTGACGACCAGGTGTCGTCCTTCTCCTTTTTCTCCCAGCCGGATGGGTAAGTCAATTCGGCCGGCTAGGTACACCATTCCACCACCAAAACCAACCAGGGGGTGGGACACCGGGTGCATGCTGCTGGGCTTATACTTAAGCTTTTGCAAGCACTTGTAACTGATGATGTCTGAGGAGCTACCGGTGTCAATAAGTATTCGTCCAACCAGCTAGTTGGCGACTTTGCATTCAATGACAACCGGATCGTCATGCGGGCGACGAACCCTGCCCTTGTCCTTCTCAGTAATCAGGACATCAGGGAAGGTGCTGCTAGCAGACGCCTGCTCCTCATCAACACCCGAGTCCATCTGCCTCAGATGGCTCTTGGTGCCCCGAATAGTAGGGCCTCCGCAGGAGAATCCACCTGCTATGGTGTAGACTAGATCTTTATCAGTGTCCGTACTACTAGTAGGCTGGACGGTCTTTGACGCCTGTCCTGGATTCTTCCCCTTGGACTTGGAGATGTAAGATTTCAACATCCCCTGGTCCGCCAGTCGATCCAATGCCCTTTGTAACAAAAGCAGTCATTGGTATCGTGGCCTACTTCCTCATGGAATTGGCAAAATTTATTTTTGTTCCGCTTCTGGAGGGAACTCTTCATAGGATTCGGCTTCTCAAGGGATAACCTATCCTTGATCTCCATGAAAATGGAGTTACAATCCTTGTTAAACTCGTACTTGGGGACGTACGGTTTAAACTTTTTCTTTTTCTTCCGGGACGGTTGATCTGAGTCCTCCACCGCCCAGACTTCCTTTCTTTTCTTGCTCTCTTCCTTCTTTTTGGTCGGCTGGCTAGGCCGACTGTCTTTTGGTTTGTCGGACTTCTTAGGCTCCGACTGTTTTCCAGACGAGCAGAGGTCGGTCGCTTGTATAAAGCTTTCGGCCTCCCTTAATGCTGCTTGTAGGGTGAATGCCCCTTTCCTGACCAGGTCAAACTTAAATGTTGACCCGTCTTTCAGACCCTTAAAGAAGTCTGTGAAAGCTACATCGTCAGACAACCCCTGGATTTGAATCCAGATCAGGTTGAACCGCCTGACGTATGAGCGAAGGCCCTCCTTCTCACCCTGCTTGATGGTGCTCAAGTCAAGACTTGTTTTCTTTGCACGGATGTTCATTGACAAGTTGGAAGCGAACAAGAAGGCTAGCTTCCTAAAGCTATCAATGGATCCGGCTGGCAGATTGCCAAACCATTGCTGGGCAATGCCCTTCAATGTGGCCGGGAAGCAACGGCACCAGATGGCATCATCCAACCCCTGTAAATACATGAGGTTAGTGTACGCCATGAGGTGGTCTTCTGGGTTGGCGGTACCGTCATAGGTACCAACCAACACATTCTTAACCTTGGCAGGTTGAACCGCCTCGGTTATCTCCCTGATGAACGCAGAAGGTTGTTCACCAAGTCTAAGCAGACGGAGCTGCCAGTCCAGAGGCTGGACATATGCCGCCTGACCTCCAAAAGGGGCCGACTGCATGAACTGAAGGTCATACTGACCATATGGCGCCTGAGGCGCAGGTGGGGCGCGTCCAATCAGTTGGGGACCAAGCTGAGCGGACTTGCCACCAGTTTCACTCTCATGTAAGGACAATGAGTTCCTTACAGAGGTTTCCTTGAAGCTATCTGGAAAGTTTGAGGTTGAGGCTTACTCAGACAGCTGTTGATGTCTTCTTCGCTCGATGATGTGCCGAGCGTCATGAGATGATTTTTTGTTGGGTTCCGGCTGATCATGTCGGATGTTCCTCAAAGGCCCAGTGGGCAGGAGGATCTTAGTCCAGTCAAGTCGTGCGGCTGCCTTCTCCTTTGGATGGGGAGTCGGCTGCCTATCCCTGACTGGCTTCATCTTTGCAGAAGAGGAAGTCTTCTTGGCCGGGTGGCTCTTGCTAGAACCAACCTTGCCTTTGCTGATCATTTCTTTGATTTCACCCTTGAAGGAGTTCATGAACTTCAGGAGTTCCTCCCGAGTGACTGGGGTGCCCCCCTGCTCTTGGGGGCTTTCCCTTCTGATTTTCCAGGTGGCCTTTTGCTTGGACCCGCCTGGTCAAAGTTCCATTCCAGCTGGTCTCTGGAACGTCTGTATCTTGAGACAAAGGAGCCATCCTTGGCTATATATGTCTCCACTTCATCATCATCCTTATCCTCAGTGACAACCTCTGGCTGGGGGCGACCGTTTGGAGGAGGAATACCAGAGCTTTCTGGTCGAGGAATCGGTTGCGGATTTTCTTGGCCTACCGGTTGGATAACCGGTGGCAGGTTGGTAGGATCAGAATGTGGTACAGACTCTTGAACCATCTTGAGGTACTCTCCCCACAGACGGCGCCAGATGTTTTGGGTGTTTTTAGTCCCTCGGGAGAGTTACAGCTCGAAGATTGGTCCGGCGCGGCCTGTACCTGCAAAACAACGGAAACTCCTCTTAGTTGGAGTTCCGCCTCCGACGGTCAAGTTAGAACGTGTAGGAGAGTAAAAAGGTGCGGAAATAAAGGTGAGATCTTTACAGATCCCGAGATCAGGTGCTTTCTCTGATGTTTGAGAGAATGCAGGTGATGTAATAAATGATTGAATCAACTTGTCCCCAAAATGGGGTATCTCTCATTTATAGGGTCATGGGAAAATGTGCCCTTACTCTAGGTCATGTGACCTAGATTTGGTGGGCTATGACAAGTCATGGGGAATTGGGCTTTGAAAGCCGTCATTCCTTGGGGTGACAGTGGTGTCCACGTGTCACTTCTTAATTGGCCTTTGCATAGACCTACATGGCAAGGACAAGTGTCCTAATAATGGGTAGACATGTGTCGCGCTCTCAGGCCGCCACGTGGCAGGGTAATTTTACCCAAAACAGGCCTCTTCATGTTAGGTTTTGTTTTACGCAACCTTGCTACCAATAGGAAGTGTATCTTGTAGTAAATGTACATAATCTAATAAATGCTTAGATTTAGGATAGAATCATTAGCAAGTATGGAGTATAAGATACTGAAATGTAAGCTCAACCTAGATGCATCTTAGGATAGACCTCAAACAAAATGATGTTTAGTTTTCCTATAGTCTACTGCTAATATTCAGATGCACTGCAAACTTTGACTCATTCCCATTCAGATGAACTGTTGATGAATTGAAGGAAGATTATAAAGGTCACTAATGGAATATATTTATATTTCACTGAATGTACCCATAACAATAATTTCTCTTTTCAAATTTAACTTAGTGAAATTACTGAATGTGCCTAGAATAGTAATTTCTCTTTTCAAATGAGCTGTTAATGAAAGAGGGAAGACTAATTTATGAGGTTGTGGCATTTGTATGTCCTTTAATGATTTATGCTTTCAAACCTGGGTCTCATGTTGTTCCTTTCTCCGAGGAGGTTGGACTTTGATGGAGGAGGAAATGAGGAAGTCGGTGAAAGCAATGCAGACTCTGAGGACCTGTCTTTGATCAGAAAACAGCTTCTTCACATAGAGAGACAACAATCTGATATGATGGTTCTCATCCAGGTTAGTTGCATACTCTTTCTTTATTCCATTGTTAATAAGAACTGGCTTCTTTTATCTTTTTGTGTTGATTTACACCCGAAAAACAAACATCTATAATAATATGAGTGAGAGTAGTGAATAAAGATCATTATAGTTTCTGCATTTTTAATTTGAAGATTGATAACTGACATCAACCTTTTGCTTTGCAATATTTAGAGATTTATGGGTAATTCTCTAAGTAGGATTGGCTCTTTGGAGAATAGAGTATCTGGCATCGAGATAGCATTGAATGAGATCTCACATGATTTAGTTGTGCAAAGAGGAAGAATTGCCAACAATGACTTAGCAGGAAGCACTTGTTGTCCTAGTACGTAATTCCTGAGTCCGAAATTCTGGAGAAGAACAGAAGGAAGGTCTTCCTCATTTCCAAAGTCATCCTATTCAGGAAGTATGTCTAGTAGTCTTAAAGCTGCTCCACAGATGGATGGTTTTAAGCACCACGAGCAGAACGAAGGCTTTTACCTGGAGCCATGGGGAAGTGTCAAAGGCATAGGCCAAACTGCCCAGAGAGGAAGAAATTACAGTCCCAGAAGCTTTGATTCAGCTTCCACTGCTGCTTGTTTTAATTCAGTGGTTCGAGGAGCATAGACTATAGGTAAATTTAATTCGCTTTCTACCCAATTAGTATGTAATTTTGTCAATTCTTTCGCCTTGCCCATCATATCTCTTGCTGTAGTTAGTTGATACAGGCATTTAGCATTTCATTTATGCTTCTTAATTTTATCCATTACTTTTTAATGAGTCACTCGCTATGTGGTAGCAGGTAGACATCAAAACCGACTCATAATTGGTAAAAACCCATACCTTACATGATACGGAGTATTACATAATATGATTTAAGATTCGAAATTGACCTGATTTGTCCTGAGGAAATATTGGCAATGGCCGCAAATATGGCCCAACCCAAGATTACATAAACAGACCTGATCCGGCGAACAACCCTTTAGCCACTTCTAGTTGATATACAGTTTGTTTTTCATTCTACAACCTGCTGAATGTTTAATGATCATTGTTAGAAATGATTTTACACCAACTTCATGTTTCTACTTTTCCATCATAGTATCTTTTTCTTACTTTTCTTGACAGTGAATCCTCTTGTTATAATATTATGCCTTTTCCCCTCCTTTCTTCTCGTAGTATAGTAAGATTAATTACATTGATTTAATATGGCCACCAAATATATCAAATAACAAATAGCACTTGAATTATTGAGTATGCTAGAATTTTGGAATATTCATATCTATGCCAGTCAAGCAATTAAATGTGACCAATATTGAATATAATACAGGTGGGATGGGATTTTGTTGCTGACTTAACCGTTGATTTTATCTAATTGATAGTATGGGCCCTTTAAACTGTCGGTCCTTCCCTATTTATGTCTATCTTCTACTATGTCAAAATCAATGCTAAAGTTTAGGGAAAAAAGTTTTATAGAGTAATAAGTTGTGAATATAACGGCTAATAAATTCAAGGATTGTGAATACATGAATGAATACTAATCATTGGATACGAGTATTTTTTTGCTATTCAATTCCGTTTGATAATCATCTGGTCATGAGTATTATAAATTATAAAGATGAATTTTCTTTTGATGTTTTCCAGGTTAATGAAGTTCTTGAAGATCGTAGTCAAGTTGAAATTATTTGAATGCTACTTTTGTTGGTGTTTATAATGGGTAAGCCTCCAAATATGCAATTAATTTAGCTTAGCGAGCTTGTTTTTTTGTACATGTTATTGAATAAATTGGATTTTTAACATTATCATTATACCAGAGGGAGAAAGATGGTGGGTGGAAGTGGGATTAGAGACATGAAGGAGACACAAGAGATGATCGATTTTCTTTTGCTCTATTTTTTTTTTTTTTTTTTTTTTTTTTTTTTTTTTTTTTTTTTTGACAAAAGAAACAGCTGAAAAGTCCATGGCAAACAGCAAATATGAGTATGTTAAGTCCTTTGAAGTACAAAATTATGATGCCGACTCTGATGGTTGTTGTCATTGATGGCTGGAATATTCGAAGGTTCTCTGAAGCTCATAAATTTGAGAAGCCTCGTGATAAAAAAGCCTTGGAGTTGATGAGTTCATGTGCAAATGCTGTCATGGAGGAATACCTGACATAATATTTTCATGCGGATATAGCGATGAATTTAGTTTTGTATTAAAAAAGGAGTCCAAATTTTACCAGAGACGTGAAAGGTTTGTGGTTGAATCTACATTCAGATGTTAGTACCTGGGATTCACAAATTTCCTTGTTGACACACTGATGTTTTAATTGATGTTTCATATTGCTTTATTTTCCCCTTTTATTATGAACTACTGAGCCCAGTTTAGTTTTAGTTATTAGGCGATAATAAAGGTATTTTATTTGGTGATTGTATAAATACAAAATTCTTTGTTTTATCTCAATTAATTAATAAAATAACTATGCTATAATTCTTATGCAAGCTAGCTAATCCAGCACAGCATGTGCTGGATTTTTTTTTAATTGGGGTACACACTATTTGTAACGGGAAGATATCATGCCCGTTACAAATAACAGTGTTATTTGTAACGGGCAGTTGAAATTCCCGTTACAAATAAGTCGTTATTTGTAACGGGCACTTGAAATGTCCGTTACGAATAACGGGCTATTTGTAACGGGCACTTGAAATGTCCGTTACAAATAACGGGCTATTTGTAACGGGCACTTGAAATGTCCGTTACAAATAACCCGTTACTCTTAACGGACATTTCAAGTGCCCGTTACGAATAACCCATTATTCGTAACGGACACTGCCCGTTACAAATAACACTAGCTATCCGTAACGGTGGCATACGTAATGCCCGTTGCCCGATACGGATAGGCCTTTTTTGCCCATTACGGGTAGCTATTTTTCCACTAGTGAATGTGATTGAACGGTTAACAGGGAATGTCAGGGTTGCAAAGGTGCCTCAAGTCATTGGTGTACCTTGTGTTTAATTCGCTAATTGATTTTTTTTTATTATTTTTTTTATAAAGAATGAATGAATGAAAAATGCTGTGATCGAGATGTATAGGAAATTTGCTCATTTTATTAATGGAAAAGGTGAACGAAACACATGAAACATATAAAAATTCAAAATGGAAAACCTATGCTAGACATGAATGGGGGAATGGAGATGAATGAGAAAGAAATTAAGAAATCTTGCACAAAGGATCTGCTGTGCGCCTTGTGTTCACTATTTCTTGCCGTCTGGAGGGACTGGAAGTTTGTTGGCATCAACAAGATCTTGAATAGCGTCCTTCAAATTCCAGCATTGTTCGGTAGAGTGACCCTTTCCTTGATGGAACTTGCAGTGGGCGTTAGGGTTCCACTTGGCGGTCTTTTCTTCAGGTTTAGGCTTTGGAAATGGCCCAATAGGTGTGATCAAGCCTTGACAGTAAAGGCGATCAAAGGCCACATCATAAGTCATTCCTAAAGGAGTGTAGGCTCTCCTTTTCTTGGGCAACAGAGAATCAAGAGCTAATACTTCATTGAGATTAATTTGGCTTATATTGTTGGTAGTATTTTCGTGCTTAGAAGACAAAGAAGAAGAAAGGTCATTCTTCTTGTTTTTCCAAGTGTTATTATTGTTACTACCGGCAGTCTTTATTAGATCATCCTCGATATTAATGCCGATGTCGTATACAGCTTCAAAAGTGTTCAGTGGAAGAAATTTGAGATGTTCCCTATATTTGTGAGTCAGATTTTGAATAAAGAGGTGAACCATCTCTCTTTCTTTGGGAGGATCTATCAAGAGTGAAGTCGTTTCCCTCCACCTGTTCAGATAAGCGGTGAAGCCTTCATTCTCTTTCTGTTTGAGAATGGAGAGTTCACGTTCAGAAGTTTTAGTTTGAATGTTTCACTTGTAACGATTCATGAAACTGTCGGTGACATCTTGCCAAGTCGCAGTACGCTTGGCATCTAAGAAATAAAACCATTGTTGGCAAGCATGTTCTAAGGAGAGAAGGAACACAGTAGGGAAGAGTGTTACGTCCAATCACTTAAGAGCCATGGTTGCAGAGAACACCTTCAAATGGAATATTGGATTGTCAGTAGGCTTGAACTTTGGAATATGAGCAGTGGAGAACTTTTCAGGGAGTCTGTCCTTCACATCCAAAGGAGTGGGAGGCCGTTCCACATAGGTGAAATCCTCAGAAATCTTGCTCATTTGTTCTTTTATTTTGTCCATTGCAGCCGCAATAACGTTGTTTTGCTCTACTATGTTGACTCTGGTAGTGAGTGCTTGTAACATGTTAGACATTGTCTCAATGGACTTGTTAATGTTCTCAATATCTTCCTTAGTGGCCATTAGGACAAACTAAAAGTAGTTTGAAGGTGATGAGTGACGTGGAGATGGAAAAGTTCTCTTAAAACGCCTCTTAGGTCTAAGAGGTTGATGTAGTAATGACTCGAACCGTACCAATCTACCCCTGCTCCTTGACCAAGTGCTGTGAAATAAAAAAAACCGCACTTAATTGTTTGACACATTGCTCAAGATAGGAAAAAAAGTCATTTGAAAAAAGGTGAGAATAACTCCGATCCACTCATCTTTTATTATGACGAAAAATGGGGGTGCATGAACCTAGTATTCGATCATAAACGACATGGTTTATGACTCGAGTCAAAAAAATAAAGAAAGTGTGTGGACTATACTTAACTCGTGAGTGATTAAGTGATGTTATAAGACTCGTGGTATGATCGTATGGCTAGACATGTGAACAATAACAAAAATGACTGACGCGAGGACCAAATTAACATGGAAGACTTAAAAAAAGTTGACTGGACTTATTTCCTAGACACCGTGACACGACAAACTGTACCGTGTCACTGTATAAGCTGTCGTGACGCGGTGATCATTTCCAGTTTTTTATTTTATTTTATTTTTGCTGGAAATCCACCGTGCCACGGTGGAAACTGCTGTGACACGGTAAACTTTCCCGTTGCACGGTGGATGTTGAAGTAGCACGAATTTTTTTTTTCCGCTAATTATTAAGTGAGTACAGTCCATTGGCAATCGTTAGTCCACCATAAACAAAGAAAGATCGTTAAGGTTAGGATCAAAACGACCAAACATAAAACACGTAGGCACAATGATGCAAAGAATAGTTTGCAACCTAAGGTCAAGTTCTATGTTCGACTATGGTCAGGTTTATTTGGTGTCAATAGGGTACCATGGTTAAGAGTTTAGACGCGTTAGCAAACCAGCCTCCCTTGAGGGTGTATGCCAATGGGCGGCTCCGCGAGTTCGTGCTTAAATCAAACTCAACTCCATGGTTTAGGTAGATTTAATAACTCGGATGAACCCTTATTGCCATGATCGTTTTTGGGTTGATAGAGCTTAAATCCCCCGGGGCTAATACGTATATAGAACACACACGTTTTTTCAGAAAAATCGAAGGAAGTTGATTGTGAGAAGAGAAAACAAGCCACCAAACTGATTTTAGGACTGCCGTGACACGGCAGATAACACCGTGCCACGGTGCTGCACACCGTCAGATGGTGTACTGCACCGTGACACGGTAGATTCTGTCGTGGCACGGCAGTTAGAAAATCATACTGGTGCCCTGTTTTCCTTCGTACGCAATCAAGTTATTCAATTTTTCCTACGGGACAGACCTAAATGCGACATTAAAACGTCTATGCTTATGCAAAAATGCCAAATTAATCATAGGAATATTTTTCAAGAATCTTTCAAGTCTCATCCACTCATCTTAATTAAATACCGATCACTCAAATCGATAAATAACCAAGAATCCTCCCCAGTGGAGTTTCCAAATTGTAGGCGTCGCTCGAAGTGAGCCTACATTAAAGCATGTGTGGATATGCTTGGAAATCATAGGAAGTGGGAATTGACATACGATTAGGGACAAGGAAAGTAGGGAGCCGCCAACAAAATTTTAAGGAACTTGTAAACCGTTCACGGATCATTATAAGGCAACCACAAAAAGGGACAACAATAGGCAACAACGATTGACTCGTGAAGGTTACACCCCATTCATAATCCATGAGATTACTAACTCCATATGGTTCGGAACCACGAAAGGAGGATCGGGGATGATAGTACGAAGTGAGTCATGGAGTCACATTCGCCCGTATTGGCCTCTACTCGATTCTTATAGTGAAAAATGATTCCTGCGATCTCAAAGGCATGCAAACAAAGATTCAATTTGCTCCAAACTATTATTAGGATAAATTGGTTTAATATTAATGCAACACATTATTCTAAAATATATAATGATCACTTGAATTAAATAACAAGATTAAAGGAACCTAAACCGGTTGTCCAAATTATCTTATTAGGCGTGATTTTCAATTACATATTCCCTTTTAAACATGCAATATGGTGATCAATAAATACAATAGAATAACATCAATATTGGAAGCAATTCAACAATAATAGTGTTAGTCAAATCAAATAATAATCCTAATCATGATACTAGCAATAAGAATAATAATAAGAGTAATTAAATTAAAAAGTATAGTTGTTTTGGTCCAAACCCTCAATTATTTGTACCTTTCACTCCTTGGTTTAAGGACGGAACCTCGAGTTAAGTATGGATTCCTTGGAGCGCTTAGTGAAATTATTATGGAAGAATAAGGAGGCTAGAAATTAGGTGAAAGAGGGAGAAGAGAATGATTTTTGGTGTAAGGTGAGAGAGAAGGATTATTGGTGCCCCGAACTATAGAGAGGAGGGGGGTATTTATAGGAAAAATGAGTAGGGAACACACGGAACCCTAAAAAAATGGATAAAAACCCTACCGTGACACGGGGGAAACTTGTGTGACACGGGGAACTGTTGTGTGGTGCAGTGGGTTTGCGCGTGAAAAAATAACGCGGATAAAACACGGGAAATACGAAACCCTAAAAAGAGGATAAAACCCTA